TTAAAATAAATTTATACTTATGACCCAGCAATTCCACTTCTAGTTATATACCTGAGAGAAATAAGAACACATCACACAGAGACCTGTACAAAGTAAAGGTTCAAGGCAGTATTTTTCATAATAGTCAAAAATAAAAACTGGGAACAATCCAAATGTCCATCAACTGATAAATGGATAAACAAAATGTGCTACATCCATACAATGTAATTCCATCCATCAGTAGAAAGAAATACATTGTTGCTACATGCCACAGCATAAATAAATCTTTATAAAAGGTCTATTATAAATGAAAAAAAGCTACATGACAGAGAATGCATGTTGTATCATTGCATTTACAGGAAATGTCCATAAAAGGCAGAGTTTTAGAGAAAGCAAGCAGATTATTTGCATGGGTCTAGGGCTGAAAGTGGAGCTTAACTGCCTCAGGTTAGGAAGGAAATTTGTAAGGTTGACAAAAATGTTCTCACACTGGATTATGATGATGGTTATGCAACTCTAAATTTTCTTAAATTTATTATTATAATTAATAAGGGTAAATTATATCTTATATAAATTATACATCAGCATGCTATTAAAAACAAAGCTATGTTTATTAAAACTGAAGGAAATATAGAGAAACCTGACAGTGACAATCATAACAAAGGAGCCAGTGTTAACATCCACAGTGATGTGTGATGTTATATCATAATATCTGATATTATAAAAAGGGCACTTCTGCTTCTTCTGTATTCTTCCCTAAAATTCATAATCCCAATCTCATTAGGAGAAAACATCAAACAAATTTAAATTCAGTAACATGAAATACTTGACCAATAACTTTCAAGGTCATGCAAAACAAGGAAGGACTGAGAAACTGTCACAGATGAGAAGAGACTAAAGTAGACATGATTGCATGATACTAAATGCAATTTGGTATCCTGAACTGATTCTTGGAACACAAAAATGATATTAGTGGAAACACTGGTAGCCTCTAAATAAAGTCTACAGTTTCATTAATAGGTTTGTATCAATGTTAATTTCTTAAATTTGAGAAATTTATCTTAGTTATATAAAACATTAACATTAGGAAAAGTTGATGAAGGAAATATGAGAACCTTCTGTACTTTCTTTTCATAAATCTAAAATTGTTTCATAATAGGAAGTTAAAATAATAAAAAATTAAAGGGAAATCATCCATATATAATATGATGATCTTACATGAATCCTGATTCAAAGTAGCTACCTTAAGAAAGAGTGAGGAAGGAAGGGAGAGAGGAAAGGAGGGAAGAAGGGAGGGAGAGTGAAAAAATAAAAATAAAAATATTTAAAAGTCAATTCTTTGACATTTACAGAATATTCAATACCATTGAAGAGTTGTTTTAGTTTTGAAATTGGATGAAATGAGTTATGTTTGTAAAAAGTTGTTACCTTTCAGTAAAGCATACTAAGGCAGATGAAATGACATGCTATTTGAGATTGTCTTTGAAATGATCTGGTAGAAGAAAAAGTGGGTGAAAGGGTGGCTAGAAAATAAATTGACTATGGGTGGTGAGTATGTAGGAGTTCATTTTTACTATGCACTTCACCTTTACATATGTTTGAAATTTTCTGTAATAAAGTTTTTTTAAAGAAAAAAATCTAAAAAACCCCAAAGTATTATAATTAGCCTTCTATGTTGACCATAGACAGAGCTTGTATCTTTTAAAAATCAAATCTGAACAGTGTCAACATGAATAAATCATAGAGAGGTGAGTGAACTCTCAAAAATAATCTGAGTAAGATATAATCAGGGCTGAATGGTTGGGAGAAAAGGAAAAGGAATGCCTGAATTAACAGGCCTCCTAAACTGGAGTGCATTGTTGTTCTTTCCTTGAAGTTCTGTGACCTGGTGATATCTAAAACTCCTAAGTGAGGATTTTAAAGTAGAAGGTGGTCAAAAAAAAACCAACCCTTTTTTTCCTACTCAATGTTCAGATCTATAGTTCCTCGCCCCCTTCGGTTCTTTTTTAATTGACTGGTGGCTTTGTCTGTCGCTTTGTGAAGCACAGGATAGGTTACTGTAATACAAAGCTTTTGCTACTTCTCTGGAAAGCCATTCAGAATCTTTAACTAGTGCAGAATGTAGAACTCTTTTGCTAGAGGATCTCTTGGAAGGAAGTATTCTTCCAGGCTTTGTAATTTACATTGATTACTGAGCTGTTTTTCAGTGCATCATTGGATGTTGACTGTAATCTATAAAACCTTATATAGTTTTGTCCTGATTAGAGAAGTCTGGCACTAGTTGTCAATTCTGATAATGACTGAGATTGATCTGTTTGACAAAACAACAACAACAAAAAAAAAATTAAAATTTTTTGGAACCTGAAATGTCAGGAGCAAGTTATTCTTATTGATAACACATACTCTGTTAGTCTGCTATTTTAAAGTGGGTTCATTGTACAGTGTGAATTTGGGAAAAATAAAACACACAAAAACCAGAAAGTTGAAAAGTAGACAGTAGTGCCAGTAAGAAAGTCCTTGTCCTAACTTTCTACTCCTTAATCTTATCAACATGTCCTCATAATATTTTACCACCTTAATGACCTGCTTTCTAAGCAGTCTTTACCCAATACTGAGTCCCATTACATAGTGATAAAGTTAATGACTTGTTCATGAGGCAGATATGAAGAGGAGCAGAATTCATATCAAAGACAACTGGTCCCATTTCCAGGTCCATCTTTGGGCCAAGATACGTAGTCGCCAACAGTGAGTTGGCGACTGTATTTTTGAGTCCTGGCGCAAAGTAAGATCCATCTGTTTTGCCCAGCCGTTTGCCTGAGTGCCACAGAATGGTCCTGTTATTAGTCTTATTTGTGGTCCTATTTGAGGTTAGGTAAAATGTAAATAAACTTCGTCCCCCTTGTGATGAATGCAGCATAGGAATTAAAAGTGGTGGTGGTGGTAGTGGTGATGGTGGTAAGTGACGTTGTGTCTCTATTTTCTCAATTGTTCTGTTTTCTTTGGATTGGGAAACAGACATTTAAGAATGAGTTTGTCATCTGGAAGGATAGTTGTGACCAAGTTTTCCTCAACAGGATACAAGATGTTATTTTTGAGCTTCATTACCCTCACCAAGGGGGGAAAGAGACAGAGACAGAGACAGAGATAAAGGGGGAGGGAGAAATCAAGAAGTGAAAGTAGGGAGGAAATACACAGAAATGGAGTGAAAACAAAGTTCAAAGAAGACAAAGAGGAATGACATAAGGGGCAGGGGAAATGTAACTTAGTAGACTGTTCACAGAATAGACTTTATTATTTTGAACTGATAGTTCAATTCAGTCAACATCTGGTGAATTGAGAAAAAGGAGATCTGACTGATTAAACTGAACTGCTAGTTGTCAGTTAAATAGTTCATATATAAATATCCAGCCCAGTTTCTATCACCTTTTCTTGTCTGAGCTAGACGGTGAATCAGTTTCACTAACCATATTTTATTGGTGAGTAGAACAATACTAGTTGGTGATTTGGATTCATGTAGAGGTGGGCAGTTTTTATGTTTTGGAATCATTTATCAGGGATTATTGTTATTCCATATAATTTCTGAGCAGTTATTTTTGTCAGTTTCTTTTACGAATGTTTTGTTGCCTTATAAGGATATATGTGCACTCCCCTCCTCTCATTCAGTTGTCCCTGGTGACGCCTCCATAATTTCTGTCTTTACACTGGTGCATTTTCAGTCTAATTCAGGCATTTGAGAAGCAGGGGAAAAGTTTAGTTAGTCAATGTCAGTGATTTTTTAAAAGCCTAATCCATTCATGGGTGAATTTAGTGTGAAGCTGAGCAAGTTTGCATTTAAAATCTATGTATATCAAATAGACGCATTACCCAAATTATTCTTCCATATATTACAAAGGAAAAAGAAAACAGGATTCACAAGTGAGAACCAGATGCATATTCTAATAATAGGTGCAGTTTCAGGGGTAATTTATGATTGTACTCTCATATGTGGAAATATTAAAATATTACTTTGCATTATATGAGGTTGAACATAAACATACCATATTTAGTGGTACAAATATATATTCAAAAATACTGCTGTAAAATAAAAGAAGGATAATTATAATAGCTCCACTTTACATTTTAAAAACTATTTCTAAATCCCTTCAAATAACAATTTGAAGATAAAAATAAACATGACTTAATCTAGTGTGTATGTGTTTTTTTTTTAACTATTATTTATAGATGATATTGTTTGAAGAAGAAAGGGACTGAAAAATATAGTATGATGTTTTAAGCTCAGATCTTAATTCATGTACTCTTAAATTTGAAGATTAAAGATACATGTTTTTTGAACCAGGAGTTAAATCAGGAGGTCTGGTTTAAAACCTGGTGATCTTCCTGTGCTGTTTCCTGTTCATGATGACTCGGGACTGCATTGACAAGATACACAATATGATGTGAAATAAGGCACACTAACCAATAATACAGTGCAATGACCATTTTGTGTTACTAAATATGTTCATTTACCTCTACTTCACCATCTGCCCCACCACCATTCAATTCAGTCATTTGAAACAAATAGATCTAGCATTTTTCCCAATTCCATTTGAACTCATACTTTTTCTTTAATGTGTATATTCAAATCCATAGATTTTCTTATTTATTCTCTGAGTGTTAATTTTATGTAATCTTTGTAAAGTTGTTGTTTAGGAATATTTTCTAAAATATCAGATAAAATATAGCTAAAATGCAAAAACACTAAGTTCCTACTCATATCATTACAAAATCCTTAACATGGAGGCATATTTTGTTTTTCAGAATTGCTTTTTCTCTCTTCACTCTTTAGATCCTTTTCTTTTCATTAAAAAACTACTCTGGGAAGAAGGTTTCTTTTTTTTCCTTAACAGGGGGAAAAAAAAAAAAAGCCACGCTTGACTGATAATGCATTGCTTTGGATGGTGAAACATTATGAAAGTTTAATTTTTAATTAAATCTGAAATACCAATTATAACTGAAAGAGATTTTAACCTGTTTCTTTTCAGACTGCCTGAAGTTACATTTAAAGACTGAAATCACTGCACCTTAAAAACAAAAGATTGAGCTGCACTATATTCCTGTAAGTAGAAGCTTCCTGTACCTTCCTCTGTTTTTCTGTGACTAATCTCAAAAACGGACAAAAACATTGGTTTTGAAAGTCCCTGAAGAAATATATCTTTAAATAATTTTCCTTCTTTTAAGAAAAAAAAAAGTTGGTAGGCTCAATATTCAGTATATCTTTTTTATTTAACCGAAAGTGTAGATTCTTTCTTTTGGCTGGTTTGAATTTCATTAGGGAGGGTGTCACCCACAGTGTTTCAGCACAGTGACATACACCCTGTTTGGAAAGATTCTTGCATTTTTTTGTACCAGACTCATGAAAGGTAAAAGAAGATTTCTTATTGAATCTAAGTAGATTCCATTTTCCTTTGTGATGTCATTAGAAATTTTTAGCCTTTGTGTCAATGGAAATGGAAAGTTCATGATGACATCACAAGATCCTGTTGCCTTGAGGACTTTGGGCAAAACTAAGTAAAATGCATAATTCCCTTGTGTGCTCGTGTTCCCCATTCTGCTACAAAGCAATCAAAATAGCACATCTTCTGTCTTCCCGTGAGCTACAAGGCTGTCTCTCAGAGCCCCATTGTTCCATAAATGCATGTCAGAGTCTACCACAGTCTGGTCTACCCTTATTTAGCTGCTGTTTTGTCAATGTACTTGGAAGAACAATTAACATTTGGGATTTCAATGTCTGAATAACAGGCAGTGAATAGAACTGGAGCACATAAAAGATTCAGATGCCCAGGGTAAGAAAACAGAAGCTTATGGTTGGTGGAGGAAAAAAAAGGAAAATCATTTTAATGCTGTACTCAAAGGTTGTGAAATACTACAAGGAAAGTCAATCATTTCTTTTATAAGTTTTAGGTCCAAATGTGTATCTTGTAATGAAATCCAGAAGCTTATGACATCTTCCTCAGTTTTGAAGTTTAATGTGTTGCAAGATCTTTTGCTAGATTGTCTTAGAACACTTAACTTTCCTTGTTGGAATACCAGATGTGGTTTTGCTGCATCGTGGTTTTCAGAGTGCCAGTCATTGTCCAGCAGAGAGCACTAAAGGTGATTTCTTCCATTTTTACCTTGATTAACTGCACTCTTTCATTATTGACTGTAGTTCTTGTGTGTTGACTGTAGACAGTCCTGGAGTGTTTTAAATGTCTCTGTCTTTTGTTTAAATTCTTTATAAGTTCTTCTATTTATTTATTTATTTATTTATGTTTTGGTGGGATGATGCATGGGCCAACCAAGATCATCACCCTGTCAGGGCATCAGGTGAAATAGAGGGACTTTGGCAGCTTATATTTGTTGTCAACTCAGCACAGTTCTTGGCTGGCATGAGAGAATAAATGATTATTGTGATTTTGTCATAACTGCAAAAGTTCAAACCCACTGTAAAGTCTCTAAAAACAAGACCCCTCCTTGTTCATTTTTATAATTCCCCACTACTTGATACAATAATGGGTGATCACAAAATAGCTATTGTTATTAGTACCATTACATTTGTAAAAACTCAGAAATTTAGAATTCATTCATCCAGAGAATATTTATTTTAAAGAAAGATTGAATAAGTTTTTTAGGGGAAAACACTCATGAAGGAATTTTCTAAAGATAAATCTTCTTTTCATCATATACCTCATTGACTTTACTCTTCTTTTTCCTGACAAAATAGGAATACCTATTCATACCACATCCATTTTGTCTGTGAAATGGTCTTCAGTAGTTTTCCATTTAACTTGTGTCTTATGTCTCCTAAACTTGACTTGACTCTAGGTGGACAGTGCTCTGCCATTTAAGTTTTTTTTAGTTGTCATACAGTAGACTGTGCTTCAAGGAAGTGGGTCAAGTTGTAGAATAGATATTGGCTCACAAGAGCAGAAAATTAAGAAGTTACTATAAGCAGAAATTATTTTCATTACATAAAAATTCAGGACCAGTTTCTAAACAATAAGTCCACAATATTCTTTAGAACTCAGAACTATTTGACATAAATTTTTCTGTCCCTCCTCCCACCAACACTTTTAAAGATTTATTTCCAAAAGGAATCCTTTCATTTTTATTAAATCAGCTTCTGGTGATGCAAATTAAGGTGCTCATAAAACTTGGCCTCTGAGGCAAAACTAAAATGATAAAATTTAGGCCTAGTGAATTGGACTGTTACCATATTGAGTAACATTTAAGAACATCAAAGAACTTTATAGAATATTTCACATTTTTTAAGACTGAAAAATTGAGGTGGAAAGGATTTAAGGGTAGAACATCATCAAACATTACAACTGCAAAGGATGTAGGAATTGAAAGTCCCATCAACTCACTTTGAAATAAATAAATCGAGGTCCAGTTTGGCACATGCATTTACACAAATCATACTGACCACCCATGCAAATCATCCTTAGACATGTAGACCTGAGAGTAGACACAAATGCAGATGCACAGGCTTCAATCTTTCCTCTACCCTCATGGCATGAACAGTATTTCCTGAAGAGCAAATCATTTTGGGCTCAGTTTTGAGACATGTTGAACTACAGTCCCCTTCACCAAGCCATCCAAAATTCATACTTAAAGGGCTATTCTGAAAACACTGTTATCAAAACATTTATTTTTTTTTATTATTCCTGTATTATTGACACCATGCCTTTGGTGGTGCAGTGAATCGTACAGAGGCAAATTTATTGGTTGACTTAATATTCTTTATGATTCTTATGATGATTTACAGAGTAGACAGAGGACCATTAAAAACTTCAGTAGTTTAATTGGGCTTACAGGCATGATGAAACCAGTAGTCTGAACAGAGCCATTGTGACATGGAATTCAGACTTTCCAAGAGTGTGCATCATGCATGGTGTCAGAATGTCACTGTAGCAAGGGGTCATTTCCATCAGAGAAAAGTTTTTCAGAGTCTGAAAAAAAATGAAATAAAGTTTAATAATTTAAAATTAATTTATTTCCCTGATAACTTATTTCATGTTGCCTTTATTGGTTTCTGTCATTTAGAAATCCAAAGAAGTGAGTGTAAGAATTTTTTGTATTATTTTACCCAAAGTTAAGTCCTGGATATAGTGTAAATTCTTCCTCAAAATTATTTTATTCCATCTAAACATTCCCCTTCCCCACATGAAGAAATTCAAGTCACCATGTACAAAAGTGCCAAGTTTTTATGGCACAAATATAAAGAAACTGATCTTCCCTTAAAAAAACAAAAACAAAAACAAACAAACAAAAAACATGGAAGCATTGGCATATTGAAAAAAAATGGGGAATTGAGGCATAGAAATGTCAAATGAGGGCCCCATATGGAGGTCTTCAACAAGACTTACTCCTCAAACCTTTTGTCTCTTTGCTCTACACTAATGCATATTAGTTCTATGCCTCCAATAAGCAAAATGCCATCAGGATACATAGCTAAATAATACCTATTTCCTGTCATTAAGAAATTTGTAAAATGGATGCATCTTTCTTATAAATAAAATGTTAAATGGGAAAGCACAAGGAGTAAATTGTTACCTTTTTTTCTGGGCCATCAGGAATTGAAATGAAATGAAAGCCAATGAAACAGAGAATACTAATAGTGTGATTTGATAGTATAATGCTTATTGGTGTCAGTGACTAAAGAGAAGCAAGTAGAAGGGAACCAGAATGTATAGGAGCATCAGTTTTACAAAAGTAGGGGTTGCAACATGGAATCCAATCAAAGAAAGTTAAATATCAAAAGAAAGCAAATCACATATTTTTAAGATAGTGGATTAAAAAATAAATACAGGGCTGGATTGTAGCTCAGTGATGGAGTACTTGCCTTGCACATGTGAGGCACTGGGTTTGATCCTCAGCACCACATAAAAATAAATAAATAAAAATAAATATGTTTATTGTGTGCATGTACAACTAAAAAATTTTAAAAGAACAAGTCTTTTAAATAAATAAATACTTTCTTACTAGGAACTTTGTCCTCCAAATATGGAAGAACCTTTTTTTAAAAAAAACTTTTTTTTAATATTTATTTTTTAGTTTTAGGTGGACACATATCTTTATTTTATTATTATGTAGTGCTGAGAATTTAACCTAGTGCCTCACACATGCTAGGCAAGTGCGCTACCACTTGAGCCACATCCCCAGCCCATGGAAGAACCTTTAAAGATAAAAAGACCCTTTAATTACTCAACTCATGTAATCCTAATTAAGGATAAAATTATTTTTCCCTTTTCCTATATGAGAAAGTAGAGGCATTAAGCAGTTTGTCCCAGGTCATGTGACTGATAAGTTTTAGATACAGAATGTGAACATGTCTGTCAAACTCTATATGCCTACTCTTCCCATGACTTGACACTGTTTTGCAGAGTTACAGAACTTCAAGTATTTCACCATTGATAATTCACAAGTTTATATCTCTAGTTCTAATACCTCTCCAAACACCAGGTCTACATTTCCAATATCTGTATTTAAATCTTCAAATAGAAATCACACTGCTTTCTTGGAGTCTGTATATTAAAACTGAATTCATTCTCCTAGTTAAAAATCATCTGCCTTTCAACTATCCTAATTTTCCTTACCCCAGCTCTCTAAGGCCTTGACTCAAAATATATTATTCGTGCCTCTTCCTGCTCCTAGATGTCCAGTAAGTGGCTAGGTCTTGTTAATTCTCTTTCTTTGATACCTCTGTTCTAGTGAGGCTTTCATCTTCTCTTACCTGTGGAAATTTCTTAATTGGTAGAAACAGGGCAGGGGTATCAGCTCATCATAAATACTGCTGCCCCATTAACTTTCCTGAAGCAGAAACACTAAAATTATGTCTCCTTTGCTCAGACAAAACTTTCAATAATTTTATATTCACTACCAAAAAATTCTTCAATATCATGGGGTTATAAAATCTAACCCTAACCCCATTTCTAATGGATATACCATATACTCAGGCCAAATTCTTATACCCACCTTTATTCATATCTTTTCTACTATCTGAACTTTGCATAATTCTGTTTTTTTTAAATATTGAAATCAGTCCATGCAAATCTGTTTGAAAGGCTATTAATT